GGGTTGGGGTTGGGGTTTGGGGTTGGGGTTGGGGTTAGGGGTTAGGGTTTAGGGTTTAGGGTTTAGGGTTTAGGGTTTAGGGTTTGGGAGGCAGGGGGGTCTCACTTGCTCTTTGTTTGTTGTGTGCGTCTTCTGAAACCCAAAAACCCCCGAAGATCATTTTCTCTCCGTCTTCTGTGGGGAAGCCGAAGCAGCCGCAAACGGGGACTTCTCCCTCGAAGACACGGAACTGCGGCAGCCCGCTTGCTGCTGCTGCTGCTGCTGCTGCTGCTGCTGCTGCTGCTGCTGCTTCCCTCTTAACTCCCTTTTGAAAGAAAGAGTCTCCGCACATAAAATACTCTATATCGTCTTTGGCGCTCATCAGCATCGGCAGCTTCCCAGCCGCCCCCACAAACTTCAGGGGGGCCCCCCCGGGGCTTTCGGGCTCCGGGGGGCCCCCCGGCCTCCTCAGACGCAGCGCATCGGCTCTGCTGCAGCAGCAGAGACAAACACAGCAGAGCTGCCAGCCAAGCCAAACGGCTGCTGCTGCTGCTGCTGCTGCTGCTGCTGCTGCGGCTGCAGCAGCAGCAGCAGCGGGGGCCGCTCCGGCACTCCGCCGTTGCTGCCATTCGCGGGTTCTGCGTTGCCACGGGAGGGCCCCGCAGTCCGCCCCCGCTGCGCGCAGCAGCAGCAGCGCGGGAGCAGCAGCTGCAGCAGCTGCAGCAGCTGCTGCAGCAGCAGCTGCAGCCTGCAGAAGCAAACAGCGCGGCGCCTGCGCGCTGCGCGAGGCTCCCCTGCTGCTGCAGAAAAGGCCAACTGGCCTTCTAAGGAAAGACTCTGAGGGAGAAGGGCTGGGGGCCAGCAGCAGCAGCCACTGGCTCTTAATACGAGCAGCAGCAGCAGCAGCAGCAGCAGCAGCAGCAGCAGCAGCAGCGGGGAAACAAGTCCTCCTAGGCAGGCGGCCGGGCCCCCCTCTTTTCGAAGCTCTCGAGCTGCTGCTCCCGAAGACTCTGCGCCATAATTGCAAGAAGAAGCAAACTGCTGCTGCAGCGCGAGGCAGGTTTGCAGCGCAGCAGCAGCAGCAGCAGCAGCAGCAGCAGCAGCAGCTGGATCGAGCCGGGACGCGGGCGCGCAGCAAAACAAACGAACTGCAGCAGCTGGTCGAGTTCAAAAGGATTTAAAGACACAAACTTGAAGTTTTATTTGCAAACAAAGTCTCAGTCTTGCAGAAAGCCAGACTGTCGATGGCTGTGGCTGGGAGCTGCGGCGCGGCGACGGCCACCACTGAACAGCAGCCGTTCCCGCCTCCGTCTTCTCCGTTTCTTCGCCACTTTTATTTATTTATAATTCCTTTTTGACAAACTCCAGGAATTATAAGCAACGGGGCTCTCGCCTTTATTCGTGGCGGCCGTTTCAGTGCGCCGAGGACCGCAGGGGAAAGAAGCCCGGTGGGGCTTCGGCAGCTACCCAGCGCCTGCTCCAGTGGTTCTTTCGCCAGTTTAAGCCCTTTTTTTCTTTATTAAGTACTTTTCCGCAATTAAATAATTCTAAAATGGCGTCTTTCCTCTCGGCTCGGCCGGCCTCGCAGTCGCGCAGCGGACGCGGGGTGTCGAGACACTCCAGGAACCCGGCCACTCCCGCTGCTGCTGCAGCACTTGTCACTTCAATTCAAATCCTTCACAACAATTGCGAAATAGTTTTTAGGCTTTTTTAAAACTCAATTTCCTTCGAGTTCCAGCTTGCAGAGCTTTCCTTGTTGCCAGAAAGCGCAGCAGCAGATCAGCTGCTGCTGCCTTCTTGCCACTTCGCGCCGGGGCCTCCCGCGCAGCAGTTCTGTTTCAACTCTGCAGAATCTTTCCGAATTCGGAGTAAGTTTTCAATTATTTCTCCATTTATATTTCTTAAATGCTGCTGCTGCTGCTTCATGCACCCACTCTGCTGCTGCTGCTGCTGCTGCTGCTGCTGCTGCTGCTGCTGCTGCTGCTGCTCGCTGCTGTTCTTCCATGCATACACTGCACTGTTGCTGCTGCTGCTGCTCCGTACTTCCACTCTACTGCTGCTGCTGCTGCTCAGAGCATCCACTGTACTGCTCTGCTGCAGCTGCTTAATGCACCCACGCTGCTGCTGCTGCTGCTGCTGCTGCTGCTGCTGCTGCTCTATGGATGCAGTCTGCTGCTGCTGCTGCAGCAGCTAGCAACTGCTGTTCTGCTGCTGCAGAGCTGACAACTAGTGCTGCTGCGCCTTAGGACGCATGCAGCAGCTTCTGAGAAGAAAACGAAATTGATTTTCTGCAAAAGAAATAAAAAGAATTAAATGGAAAATTCATTTTTGAAACTTCTTAGTTTTGAAACTTCGCAAAACAGCTGCTGCAGCAGCAGCAGCAAACCGGGTGGCGAGGGCCCCCCTGCAGCAGCAGCAAGCTGGCAGCTGCAGACACCGAATTGCCCTTTATTACATCGAGACATTTAACTGATTATAATAATTATATTATTTAATTATTATATTATTTAATTATTATTTTATATAATTATCATTTTATATAATTATTATTTTAAGGTCAAATAAACATTAAAGTCCAATAAAAAAGAAAGGAAGAAAAGAACCTCTTGGGGCCTCAGAGGCGGCTAAAAACCCTTAAATGGGGTTTTGTCATTAGGAGCTCTGCGAGCTGCCTGCTGCAGCAGCAGCAGCAGCAGCAGCAGCAGCAGCAGCAGCTGCTGCTGCTGCTTGAATAGTTTTTTGCGGGCTGTTGGCTTCAGTTTGAGTGCTGCAGCGCAGCAGGCGCAAGCCGTCTTTGCTGCTGCTGCTGCTGCAGCAAATGCCGCGCTGCTGCAGCAGCTGCGCGTGGCTGCAGCGCGGCTGCGCAGCTGCTGCTGCAGTTGGGGCCCCACAGCTTCATTTTTGTTTTAATAATAAATTTAATTTTATTTTTTGCAAATTAAAAACAAAAGAACAACTCCAGAAAGCAACAAATCCTTTAAATCTTCTTTTCGTTCAAGTTGAACTTCAAACTGCTGCTGCGCTGCTTCTCGAAATTCAAGTTTCCAATTGGGGCCCCCCTGGGGCCCCCCTGGGGCCCCCCTGGGGCCCCCCTGGGGCTCCCCTGGGGCCCCCCCTGGGGCCCCCCTGGGGCCCCCCTGGGGCCCCCCCTGGGGCCCCCCTGGGGCCCCCCTGGGGCCCCCCTGGGGCCCCCCCTGGGGCCCCCCTGGGGCCCCCCTGAGGCCCCCCCTGGGGACCCCCTGGGGCCCCCCTGGGGCCCCCCCTGGGGCCCCCCTGGGGCCCCCCCTGGGGCCCCCCTGGGGCCCCCCTGGGGCCCCTCCGGGGCCCTCACGGGGCCCCTATGGGGCCCCCAAGTTTAAATTAAAAGCAAAAAGTGCTATTTCTTTTTTAAATTCCCTTTGAGAGTTTAAGTTTTACTTTTATTTTGGAGAAGTTACTTCAATTCGACTTCTCTGAAAAAGTTGAATTTTGCTTTTTGTCTTTTTCTTTTTTTGCTGCACTTAAAGTAATTCAAAGAGCAGCAAAGTGGATTTAAAAGAAGCCCCGGGCAGCAGCAAAAAGGTTTAGTCTTCTGCTGCAGCAGCAGAAGACGAAGACTGAGTCTGCTGCTGCAGCAGAAGACTGAGCCCTTTTGCTGCTGCAGTTGAAGGCAAGAAGTGCTGCTGCATGCAAGAGCAGCAGCACAAGCTTTTCCTTTTTGCTTTTTGCTGCTGAGTCTTTCTTAAATGCATTTGTGATGAAATGCATTTAATGGAGAAGACCGAAGCTGCTGAAGAGAAAAGATCTGCAGCAGCAAAAGCCTGCAGCAGCTGCAGCAGCTGCAGCACAAGGCCGGCGCTGCAGCTGGGCGTTTAAAGAGTTTTGCTGCAGCTGCTGCTTCTTCAGAGCCCTGCGCCCGCCTCTGCATAGCAGCAGCAGGAAGCAGCAGCAAAGCTGGAAGTAACCGGAGCGGGTTTGCTGCTGCTTCTGCTGCTGCTGCTGTTGCTGGGGGGCTGCTGCTGCTGCTGTGCCGCTGCTGCTCTAGAGCAGCCGCCGCTTCGCCAATTGCTGCAGCTGCTGCAGCTGCTGCAGCTGCTGCTGCCAGCGCAGAGCCCCACTGGCCCCAGGAAGCCCAGGGGCGCCTGTGGGCGCAGCTGTGGACTTGCTGCTGCAGTGGACCATTGGTGTGGACCACTGGTCACCTTCAGGGCCTTGGAGCAGCAGCCGAAGTGCAGAGTGGCAGCTGCTGCTGGGTCACAAGATCCAGTTCTGAAGGCGAAATGCGACGAAGGCTGGCCTTAGCCGGCTTCCCTTTGGATTTCTTTATTTGTTTTGAATTAAAAATGGATTTATTTTGAATTAAAGGCCGCATTTGCTTCAACTGCAGCAGCAGTTGCTGCCAGCAGCAGCGCCGCAACCACTCGAGACGGCAGCAGGCGAACTGCTGCTGCGCTGCAGCACGGACTTCCCCGGCCCCCCTTCGCCGCAGCGGCTCACTAAGTCTTAAATTGCAAATTGTTGCAAATTATTGCAAATATTTGCCGAAAATAAGTGAAATAAAGTGGAGAAAAGCGAGACACGCGGGGGGTGGGGGCGCGGCGGGAGTTCTTGAACTGGGCGTGTCGCGGCAGCCGTTCAAGTTGCAAAAGCGCGGAAACAGCCGCTCTTTGGGCTCTTTTCGCGGAATAAACCGCCAACTTTGTTTGAAATAGACTTTTGGATTTGCACAGCTTTTTATTTTTTCGAAAAAGACGAGTTTCGCGCTGCAGACGGTGGGTGGCGCGGTGGTCCACTGGCACGGGGTTGTTCGCTGCGCTGCTGCCGCCAGCGCAGTTCACATTCTCGAACTTCCGAATTTCCTTTTCAAACTCTTTTATTTATTCTTTTAATTCTTCTTTTCGAGTTCTTCTCAGGCCCCTTTTGCTGCTGCTTCCCCGCTGCTTCCTGCGGCCGCGGGCGCCGCCGCGCCAACTCCCACCACTATGAGGCGGAGTGCCACGGAGCCTGCAGCAGCAGCAGCAGCAGCAGCAGCAGCAGCAGCAGCAGCAGCAGCAGCTCCCCCTTGCGAAGCAAAACCCCTCAAGTCTAGGCTTCTCCCTGGACATGAAGCAACACCTAGGGCCGCCGACCCCCCGGCTGCTGCGGCCGCAGCAGCAGCCGCTGCTGCTGCCTGCAGCTGCGCAGGCAGCAGCAGCAGCAGCGGGGGCGGTTCGGCGCAGCAGCAGCAGCAGCGCAGCAGCAGCAGCAGCGCAGAAGGCCCCGGGGGGGCCCTGAGACGCGCAGCTCTCACCAGGAGGTACTTGAAGTCCGTAAAAAGAAATTATAAAAGACAAAAAGCTGTTTATTTGCAAACCCACACTTTGGAACAATTCAAAAGTCTGCAGGCTGAAGTCCGCAGGGAAGAAAGGGGGGCCCCCAGGGGGGCCCCCGGGGGGGCCCCCGGGGGGGCCCCCAGGGGGGCCCCCAAGGGGGCCCCCCTGCCGCTGCTGCAATGCCTAGCGGGGGGCCCCTGTCTTACGCCGCCGCAGCAGCAGCGGCCCAAAGACAGCCGCTGCCAGCAGCTGCTGCAGCGGCCGCTGCTGCCCTGCGAGCTCTGAAGGGGCCTGCTGCTGCTGCTGCTGCTGCTGCTGCTGCTGCTGCTGCTGTTGCTGCTCTTCGCGGAGAAGCAAACAAATCTGTTTTCTTTTCGCCGCTTCGCCCCCTCAGCCGCCGCTTTCCCAGCAGCAGCAGCAGCAGCAGCAGCAGCAGCAGCCGCAAGCTCCTCATCTTGTTTCAAACCCTCCACCATCGTATTGTTGCAATTGTTATTGTTCTCTCAAAGTGAAAGCTGCTGCAGCGGGAGAAGCTGCTGCTGCTGCAGCAGCCTTGTGCAGATTAACGCCGCGATGCAGATGTGTGCATCTGCTGCGCGCTGCACTCCAAACAAGAAACAAAAGTCCCAAAAACATTAAAATAAATAAAAATAATATTTATTTTGTAGCTTTTTAGCAAAAGTTCAAGCAGACTTGCACGAGATTCCCGACTCGGAGGTGCGCGCTGCTTCGCGGATGCGCACGCGAGCTGGGGTGTACGTACACCTGGCCACTTGGCTGTTTCTGCATTAACTCAGTTGCGTCATTCTGCCATTTATTTAATTCCAAAGAAACAAATCTGAGCTTTTGCATTCTAAAAACAATCTTTAAAATGCTCCGAGCGAGGGTTTAGGGTTTAGAAACCACTTTAATTGGAAAAGAAAAAACGCAGCTTTCATAGACAGTCGGGCTCGCAGGTGTAGCTACACCCCAGCTTTATCATTGTTACTGTTGTTATTATTGTTGTTATTACCATTATTACTTTTATTATTATTTTTATTGTTTTATTCTTCATTATTATTGTTATTATAAAAGTATTTTGCTGCTACTTGCACAGGTTTCACTCCCACTGCTGTCAGCTGTACGTACAGTTGGCTGGCAGGGAAACCAACAATTCGAATTACTCATTTACCATTATTATTATTAGTATTTATTCTTCTTATTATTATTGCTGTCACTATTATTATATTATTATTATGATTATTATTATTGTTATTAATATTATATCGTTATAATTATTATTATTATTATTATTATTATTACTATTACTATTATTATTATTATTATTATTATTATTATTATTATTATTATTATTATTATTATTATTATTATTATTACTATCATTATTACTATTACTATTATTATTATTATTATTATTATGACTTCTTTAGTTCCTCGTTGGGAATGCAGCAGCAAAAAACTGCGAGGCGAATGTCCTTGTGGGCGCCTCTGAGCCAGATAAGGCTAAGAAAGTTCTTAAGACTTGAATTATTTATAATATATATATATATATATAATATATATACAATGTGTAATATATATTATATATTATATATATATGTAATACATTATATATTATATATATATATTGTATGTAGTAGTTATATAATATATATTATATTATATATTTATTTATTATATTAAATATATTTTTGTTCCACAGGAACAAATTAATAGCCACTGCGTGCAGCTATCTGCACATGTTTAAGATAATACATAAATACAATAAATGAAATATATTATATATCTATTATGCAAAATATATATATTAGAAACATGCATATATATATTACATATAATAATGCAAGTACAAAATAACATATATTATTAAAATATGTATTTATATAACTATAAATTATAATATATATTTGTGTACAAATATTATCAACTTTGGGATAATAAAAGGCCAGGGACTTGAAGAAAGAAATAAAACGCATGCAAAAGAAATAAAGAATTTGCAAAGACGGAAACTGAAGTGGATTCAAAGTTTATTGAATTTGCTGCTGCTGCTGCTGCTGCTGCTGCTGCTGCTGCTGCTGCTGTCTGGGGCTTTTGGTAATTAAGACTTTGCGGAAAAATAATTTGAAATTATTTAATTTGAAATACTTGAAATTAAATTGAATCAAAATATATTTTTGAAAATGCATTTTAGGTATCACATCGAAAGCTTGTTTTTAATTGTTTTTTTAATTCAAAATCTTTTAATTCGTTTTTAAATTTCACAAAAGTTCTTTTTGTCTTTTAAATTTAAACAACTTCCTTTGAATTGCTTTTTTAATTTCAAAGACTTCTTTCTAATTGGTTTTAAATTTCGAAAACTTTGTTTTATTTTTTTAACTGATCTTTAAATTTCAAAAAGCTTCCCTTCAATCGGCTTTTTTATTTCAAAAACTCCTTTTTGTTTTTCAATTTTGAAAGTTTCTTTTTGATTGGTTTTTGATTTCAAAAACTTCTTTTTAATTTGTTTTTGATTTCAAAAACTTCTTTTTAATTGTTTTTTAATTTAAAAACTCTTTTTGAATTTAATTGCAATAAATGCAATTCACTTCCCCCTTGAATCATGCAAGAGTGTGCGGGTGTCTCACAGTGCGGCTTCGGGAATTTGAACAAGAGCCGATCTCGCCTTAAAACTCAAACCCTGAGGCTAAAACCAAATTATTGGAGTTGCAAAAAGCAGAAAATACTTTTTTGTGAATTTATAGATCAAATGGAGTTCTTTTTTGGGCCAAGTTGTTGCGGGAAAGCTGCGAAAGCAGGCGAGGCAACGCGTGGACGGCGAGCCCGGGCCGGCGAGGCGCGCATGCCTTTGAATCGTTTAATTGTTTTAATTGTTTTAATTGCTTTAATTGTTTTAATTGTTTGAATTAAACTGAATAATTTACTCGGAAAAACCCGAGATGTGTGCAGAAGCCCTGCTGCTTTCCGCTTCCCGATTTCGCGGGAAGCACCGCTAGTCACCCGAGCGCCGGGGCCCCTCGCGGCGGTCCTGGGGGGAAAAAGCTGCCACTTTTGGGTTTCTTGGGGCGCTGACTCGCCCAAACTCGGTAGTTATCTTTTAATTTGAAGTATTTCCATTATTGTTTCATCATAATTGGGAATTTGTTTCGACTTTCCGCACCTTTCCTGGCAGATCGCCGCTGCCACCCCCCACGACCGTGAGGTCACCCGCCCGCCACCATGTTGCTCCGCGGCCTCGTGGCCTTGGGCTCTTTGTTCCTTTTCAACGAAGCCCAAACCAACGCCAGTGAGTTTTTGTTTCTTTTTGCCTTTTTAAAACCCCAAAAAGTGTTTAAAACGGAGTCAAATGGCCTCAGTTCGCCCCCTAACCCTCAGACTCGCCCGCGCACACAGCGCAGACACGCGCCGCAGCAAGTGCTTCGGGCTGGCCAAACTCTGCTTTTTCGCTTCCACGCAATAATTAAATAAATAATAATACAAAAACGAAACAATTGGAAACTATTTACAGTTTTAAAACGCTTTTTCCCCTTTGTTTTGCCCCTTAATGCTGCAGCCTCCCCCCCCCTCCGCCGGCTCTACCCCTTCGTCGCCGATGCAGATCCTTCAACTATTGTCGAGCCAGAGAAGCCCCTGGACATCCCTGTGGGCTTTCTGACCCAGTCGGACCCTGGGAGGCCCTCAGGGGGCCTCTCCCAGGGGGGCCCCCCGGGTGGAGTGGGGGCCCCCCCCGAGGCTGAGGCCTCCAGCGGGGGCCCTGCTGCTGCTGCTGCTGCTTCTCCCGCTGTCTCCAGCTCTGAGGAAGAAGCAGCAGCAGCGCCGCCCAGGTTCTCCTGGTTCTACCCCGGCGATGTCCCGCCCGCGTCTTCTTCGGGAGGCAGCAGCAGCAGCAGCAGCAGCAGCAGCAGCCTGCCCAGCGACGGCTCTGAAGGAAGCAACATCGCTGTAGGCCCCAGCAGCAGCAGCAGCAGCAGCGAACTCGGCAGCAGCGGCAGCAGCAGCCTCGGCAGCAGCGGCAGCAGCCTCGGCAGCAGCGGCAGCAGCCTCGGCAGCAGCGGCAGCAGCCTCGGCAGCAGCGGCAGCAGCGGCAGCAGCCTCGGCAGCAGCGGCAGCAGCCTCGGCAGCAGCGGCAGCAGCAGCAGCAACGGAGACTCTCTGGGAAGCTCGCCTTCGTTTGAGAGCAGCTCGAGCAGCGGCGGCGTCGACAGCAGCAGCAGCAGCAGCAGCAGCGACAGCAGCAGCAGCAGCAGCAGCAGCTTCTCCAGAGGCCGCTTCTCTTCCTCAGCAGCAGGAGAGTCTGGGGAGGCCTTAGAGGGGGCCCCCCAGCAGCCGCCCCGCCTCATCCCGTACGGCCCCAGCAGGAGGCCCCAGGGGCCCCCCCCGGGGGCCCCCCAGGGGCCCCCCGAGGGGCCCCCCGAGGGGGCCCCCGAGGGGCCCCTCGAGGGGGGCCCCCAGGGGCCCCCCCCCTCCTTCGAAGACTCGGAATCTATCAGCAGCAATGCTGCAGCAGATGAAGAAGCTTCTGAAGACAACTTCGGAGATATAGAGTCTGGAGGGTCTTCGGGTTCTTGGGGGCCCCCCGGGGGGCCCCCCAGCAGGCCCTTGGGGCCCCCCAGGAGGCCCTTGGGGCCCCCCAGCGGGCCGCAGGGGCCCCCGCAGCAAGAAAGCGAGGTTTTCGAGAGCGAGCCCCGCAGCAGCAGCAGCAGCAGCAGCAGCAGGTGGCCTGGCAGCCGCAGCAGCAGCAGCAGCAGCAGCAGCAGCAGCAGCAGCGAAGAGTCGCGCCCTTATGACTTTTCTCGAGATTCGGAAATAGAAGATGAAAACGAAGAAGAGGAAATTGAGGAAATAGAAAATGAAAATGAAATTGAAAATGGAAATGAACTTGAAGACGAAAACGAAGTTGAAAATGAAAAAGAAATTGAACAAGTTCCTGGAGACAGAAGAGAAAAAAGAAAAGATTTGGAAAGAGAAAATGAATTTGAAGAAGACAGAAGAGGCCGGGAAGAAAGAGGAGAGTTTGAAAGAGACGGGGAGCGCAGCAGCAGCGGCAGCAGCAGACGCAGCAGCAGCCGCAGCAGCAGCCGCAGCAGCAGACGCAGCAGCAGCAGCAGCAGCGGCAGCAGCAGCGGCAGCAGCAGCAGAGCAGCAGAGCTCCTCAAAGCAGCACAAAGAGCCAAGGAAGAAGCCTTCAAGCTGAAGCAAGTGGCCGAGGAGGCGCAGCAAGCAGCAGAAGCAGCAGCAGCAGACTCGGAGGAAGCAGCAGCAGCAGACTCGGAGGAAGCAGCAGCAGCAGACAACGAGGAAGCAGCAGCAGCAGACAACGAGGAAGCAGAATCTGCAAACTCGGAGGAAGCAGCAGCAGCAGACAACGAGGAAGCAGCAGCAGCAGACGACGACGAAGCAGCAGCAGACTCGGAGGAAGCAGCAGCAGACGACGAGGAAGCAGCAGCAGCAGACGACGAGGAAGCAGCAGCAGCAGAGTCTGAGGAAGCAGCAGCAGCAGAATCTGAGGAAGCAGCAGCAGCAGAAGACAGCGAGAGACTTGGCCGCTCACGGTCTCGGCGAGAAGACGAAGCTAAAGAAGAGAGAGCAGCAGCAGCAGACTCTGAAGCAGCAGCAGCAGCAGCAGCAGAAGGCCGAGAGGAAGCAGCAGCAGAAGCAGACTCGCGCGACGAGGACTCTTCGGAAGCAGCAGCAGAGTCCAGGGGCCACGCAGCAGCAGCAAGAGAGTCGAGAGAAGCAGCAGCAGCAGCAGCAGACTCCGAAGACTCGGAAGCAGCAGCAGAAGACTCTGAGGAAGAAGCAGCAGCAGCAGCAGAGTCCCGCGATGCAGCAGCAGCAGCAGGCGAGGACCGCGACGAAGCAGCAGCAGCAGCAGACTCCAGACACGAATCCGAAGACGCAGCAGCAGCAGACTCCAGGGGCCGCGCAGCAGCAGCAGCAAGAGCAGCAGCAGCTTCTCGCAACGAAGCAGCAGCAGCAAAGTCTCGCCGCGAAGAAGCAGCAGCAGCAAGAAGGTCTCGCCGCGAAGCCTCAGCAGCAGCAGCTTCTCGGGAAGAAGCAGCAGCAGCAGACTCTGACGAGGAAGCAGCAGCAGCAGACTCTGACGAGGAAGCAGCAGCAGCAGACTCCGACGAAGCAGCAGCAGCAGCAGACTCTGACAAAGCAGCAGCAGCAGCAGCAGAAGACTCTTTTGCTGTTGCTGAAGACCTCCAAGCAGCAGCAGCAAGAGCTCAAGCAACAGCAGAAGCCCTGGAGGAAGCAGCAGAGGAGGCGCTGCAGGCAGCAAAAGCTGCGCGCAGCAGCAGCAGCAGCAGCAGCAGCAGCAGCAGCAGCAGCAGCAGGGGAGAAGCAGCAGGGGAGCGCTTCGGGGCCCTCCCCGAGGAGAGGCCTCGATCCCAGGAGGCCGGGAGACGATCCCAGGAGTTCAAAAGACGATCCCAGGATCGCCTTGACGGGGATCGATCCCAGGACTTCGAAAGACGATCCCAGGACTTCGAAAGACGATCCCAGGGAGCAGAAAGACGATCCCAGGATCGAGTTGATGGGGATCGATCCCAGGAGGCTGGGAGACGATCCCAGGATCGAGTTGACGGAGATCGATCCCAGGAACGGCGTGGGGAGCGATCCCAGGATCGGTTTGATGGGGATCGATCCCAGGAGGCTGGAAGACGATCCCAGGATCGCCTTAACGGGGATCGATCCCAGGGAGCAGAAAGACGATCCCAGGATCGGTTTGACGGGGATCGTTTTGAGGAACGGCGTGGGGAGCGATCCCAGGAAGCTGGGAGACGATCCCAGGATCGGTTTGATGGGGAGCGATCCCAGGAGGGTGGGAGACGATCCCAGGGGGTAGAAAGACGATCCCAGGATCGGTTTGACGGGGATCGATCCCAGGAGTCCGGGAGACGATCCCAGGAGTCCGGGAGACGATCCCAGGGCCGGTCTGAAGCTGCTGAAGAAGAAAGAGAAGAAAGGAGAGAAGAAAATGAAAAAAGAGAAGAAGACAAAAGAGAAGAAGAAGAAAGAGAAGAAGAAGAAAAAGAAGAAGAAAGAGCAGCAGCAGCAGACAGCAGCAGCAGCAGCGGCGAAGAAGACAGCAGCAGCAGCAGCTCCCCAGTAGTGGTCCAGGTGGCCCAGCCAGGCAGCAACAGGTTCTCTTCTGGGGACTCTGCTGCAGCAGCAGACCGCCCGAAGCAGCAGCAGGAAGACGAGGAGGAAGAGCAGCAGCAGCAGCAGGAAGAGCAGCAGCAGCAGCAGCAGCAGCAGCAGCAGCGCAGGCTGCAGCCCGGCCGCGGAGGCAGCGGGAGGCCCCCAGCCCCGCCCCAGGGGGGGGCCCCCCTGGTGGACTCTGGCAGAGGGGGGGCCCCCGGGGGGCCCCTCGGGAGGGCCCCCAGTCACCATTTGCTGCGGGACCCTCTTAGAGAGGGAGAGAGGCCCCCACAGGGGCCCCCTGGGAGGGGCCCCCCGGAGGGGGGCCCCCTGGGGGCCCCCGAGGGGGGCCTCCGGGGCCCCTTTAGGGCCCCCTCTCACGGAGACAGGCGTCTTTCGGAGGCAGAAGAGGGCCTCGAGGACTCTCTAGAAGACAGCAGCAGCAGCAGCAGCGACAGCAGCAGCAGCAGCGACAGCAGCAGCAGCAGCGACAGCAGCAGCAGCAGCAGCGGGGAACACCAGTTCCCGCCCCACAGGCCGCCCCCACCGCCCCCCCCCCACTTCCAC